ATTCGAATCCCGTTGAAGCCCTGATTTTTTTCAGGCTTCTTCTTTCCAGTTGCTTAAATTGGAAAATTTACTGCGATGATCATACTTCACTTTCAGTAATCACGTATGTTACAAGTGGTCACGCACTTTTGCGGTACTCTGTACACACTTATATCACGCTCAGTGTAGTGACACAGAAGTTAGCTTGCATCGTGACAAAATTGTAGTAAAACATCTTGCCATGCCAACAAACACAGTTTAAAAAGAAGGTCGTGACATTTTCGTCTTTTTTTTTAAATTTCTAATTCTGGTGCAAAACGTGTGCGTTACAAGAACGTCACACTATATTATTACAGATAGGCTCTTGTTCTTGCTACATTCTGAATATATTTTCAACTTTTTTTATTTTTTATTTATTTATTTATTATTTTTATTATTAGGGGAAAACAACGATGACACGGCTGGACTTGCACCTTCTGCAGTCATTCCCGGTTTGTATTTTTATCTAGTTCTATTTCGGTTTGTCTTTAATGTGATTATATGTCACTTCTCATGGCATCGCTTACCATTGAAAATATTTTGGTTATGTAGCCAGTCCAGTGGCTCCATTTCACTCCTGGTCTTTCATCTTCAAAACACACAACAAGATCGTGGGATCGCCAGCTCTCAACCTGGTCGGCAACACGCTCATCAAAGACAGCGGCATGCTATTCGACGGTGCCAAGACATTCGCTGAAACATCTCTCTCAGTAAGCGACTGTTTACAGGACCCGGGTCAGTGCTTGAATGGGTTCTCCATGGGTACCAAGGTGAAACTCGATGAAGCTTGCATGTCGTACAAAGAGCCCAGGTACATTGTTGACAGCGGAGCGCGCAGTCTGACCACGCGTGGCGTGTCTGTGTACATAGTGAACGGTAACCTGTTCTTTGAATTGGCTACCGTCAAAAAGGCTTGGAAGGTATGTACATGATGATATAACATGTATTAAGTGCAGAAGAAAGAGTTTATAATAATACATTACTAGTTCAGTTTATGTGCTTTCAAAGGTGACTGGAAACGCCGAAACAATCCATACCACTGGTACAGATGTTAACCCTTGCGATAGAGTACTTACTACAAACCACAAACTCATTTTATTTCGTTTATTTCGGAGATCACTATTTTTGAATGAGGGGGAGGGGGGTAGTGGGGCGGGGCGGNCCGATGTTTGGTGCTATGCCAGTATAACATGGAGAAACGACCTCGGTCTCAAACTCTACCTGGATGGTAACGAAATTGCGTTGGATGACCAAGGAAAAGAGGTCGATGTTCAGCTGAACGCTAACAAGCCTAACCTGTGCTTTGGACGGGATGTTCAAGGGGCAGGGAATTTTGCCAAGTTTGCCATCGGATCGTTCGCTACGTTCAACACGTTTTTATCGCCATCGATCATGCGCAATGTGTACACTTTCTACTTTAGAAGTGGTAAGTGATGACTTTGGGGGTTTCTTAGTTGATTTTCAGATTTAACTCTGATATTAATGCTAAATTACAGAAGGGCTTTCATTGCTTCGACCATTTCACCCTTTCTCCCTAACATGGTTATTTTCTGTTCATAATAAAAGCGTCTTATAATATGGTTTTAGGTTGTCAATCATATGTTCATTTGAGTACTCACTTGCACTCTTGCTCTTTAGGCATGTTTGATTCATCAGCTTCCAATACAATAAAATTGAGAGTGAAAAACACGTTTGACAAAGATGTGCAACTTATGGCAAGCGATAAACAGCCAGCCCAGGGTATTCAGGTAAGACGGTCTCCCCCACCCCCACCCCTCCTAAACAAGGACCAAGGAAGGGTGCCAAATTACTCCAAGTATCTCTGTGGTATGGAAACTGAAGTGAAACGCCTGTTTTGTTATAGGACGTATACCAACGGCATTTTTTTTGTTTTGTTTTGTTTTGTTTTGCTTTGTTTTGTTTTGTTTTGTTTTGCTTTGTTTTGTTTTGTTTTGTTTTGTTTTGTTTTGTTTTGTTTTGTTTTGTTTTGTTTTGTTTTGTTTTGTTTTGTTTTGCTTTGCTTTGTTTTGTTTTTGTTGTTGCTGTTGCTTTTTGTTGCTGTTGTTGTTGTTGTTTTGTTTTGTTTTGTTTTGTTTTGTTTTGTTTTTTTTAAGTATACATGTTTCCAAAGGCGTCTTAATATATTCAATCAGATGAGATCAAATCACGTCAATTATTTTCGTTACGACTCTAAAACAGTTACGAAAGAACCTCGGGTCGATATCTGAGGCTGTAGACATGGACACTTAGTTAATACCTTTTTTTAATCGTGTAGATACTTAAAAAATACACCATGGAAGTCCGCAAAGATGTAGCTGTTGGCCAAGCAGTGACGTTTAGTGCCCAGGCTGCTTCTCAGAAACTACTGCTTAACAATCAAGATAAGCTGACTATTTCGCCGCAGCTGACGCGTAAAGGCTCGTTTGTGGTGGTCATCTCCAAGGAAAAGATTGATGGAGCAGGAGGTAATATCAGCGATCAGAATAAAATTTCTTTTTACAGTGTTAATACTTTGTCAAGCAGACAAGTGGTGAGAATTTAGGGAAATCATCGAATAAAGGATACTGTCTTGATCTTCCATCGAACTCTTGCAGTAAAGTGTTGGCCAGGAATGTTCGCTTTAAAACACTGTACCTAAGTTCTATAATTCTACCAAGAAATCAAGGTTAATTAAATTCAAGGGTCTTTTGACGCGAAAAGACGATTTTGTTCATTATTAACTCAGATTTATTTCTTCTTGCATTGATTGTGTTTTGTCTCAATTCAGAACCTTGTATGATACATTACATGTAGCTAGTTCACAGTCGCGATAGATCAGCGTAACTAGAACAAGACTTGAATGCATAAAAAACACTGTGCCCATGCAATATTTTGCAGCATGTACTACACAAGTTGAAGCCCTACTACTGTTAGACATAAATGTAACTACATAATGAACAAAACTTTTTCTTATGTATCTTGTTCCTCACACTTAAATACAACATATACATAATTCATATGGGTACTGCTTTGGCTTAGCTCTGTTTGCTGGGTAAGAAAACTCAACAGTCCCAAGTGGAATACATTAGCCACAGGTCTGGCCGTTTATTTTGATAGCAAACTAAAATTACAAACATACCGAAGTACTAGCTCAGCAAAGGATAGGGAGAAACCGCTAGCTAGTGTAGAAAATGGAGTGTGCCGGAGAGAGGGAAAATTCCCGTCACTTCCTGAGAATGCTGTGCAAAAGAGAAGGTGGACCACATTTAGCGATATCTATATTCCGGAGGACAGAAACTCCCCCAACCAAGCACTGGGTCTAGTTATGTCACAACCTACATAACATCATTTATTTTGGTAAAATAAATTCCCATTTTTTTCTTTCTTATGTCGTTGATGTTACCCAGGCGTTTGTCACTGATGAGAAGTTTTTCTTTCTTTTAGGTGGGTCCGCGACTGGAACTTATTACATCTCAGTGAAGATCATGAACAAGTCCGGCAAAAATATTGTTTTAATGCCGAGCGACAACAACCCTCCTCAGGGCTTCCCTGTCAAGAAGGGCTTCATGATGTCCTTCACCAAACCGACCAACGGTAACTCTCCTATAACTTTCAAGGTTGTGGATCCGGCGTCGAACCAGTTGATGAAAATAAATGGCAAAGATGATATTGTACTAACACCAAGTTTAACCAAAGGTGCACCTACAACCTGCGAGATTCTCGCTCCAGGAATGTCACAAGGTTTGTAGTTTGATTTAAGTTCACCTCCCAGTCCTGAGATAGAGCACTTATCTGTCGTGGCCGCCACAGATCAGGAAGAAGTCAGGCAATTTAGCAGAAGGGGGCACTGTAAAGTTGTTTGCAAAGTATGGGAAAGTCAGTTGGAGTGCAGATTTTTGGAGGTTTTGATAAAAGTGTTGCTCGTAAGAGTAAGTTTGAAAGTTTTTCAAAGAAGTACGAAGTATGGTAGGCTGGTATTTTCTTCCCCGATGTATCTCTCATATTGCTCCGCAGGCTTTGTTTGCCGGTTTTGTACAGTGAAAGGTTAACTGTGAGCGATTTTCCTGACGTTCAACTTATGTTTGACACTGAAGTCCAGAAATATTTCGAGCGTTGACAGCCCGTCAGATTTTATTGTTCCGTTTTCTTATCTCATAACGTATTACCCTCCCGCAGTGAAATGATGCGTGCATTGAATGTGTTTTTACTCTGTTAGGAGGACAGCAGTATTACATCACTGCTCGCTTCATGAACAAGGCAGGACAAGACGTGATAGTCAAGTCAAGTGACAACAACCCCGCTCAGGGCTGGAAGGTAAAGAAGGGCTTCATGATGGACATCACCAAAGGTACCACGTCTGCTCAGCCAGTCACGCTCGCAGCGACATCAACGGACGGCAAGACACCGCTGGCCGTCAATGGCACGACGGAAATGCATATAACACCACATGCTACCAAGGGGAACACGAAAGACGTGGTGGTTCTTGGAACACAACGTGAGTTGGTGATGGTGTACTTAGTTTGCGTTCTACGGTCTGCTCTCTTAGAGGAACTGATATATTTTCATTGCGTAAACTTGCTTCCACTTCTTATGGTCTTCACTCTTTTAAGTATTTTGCATGCAAAACTTGGAACTCTCCCTAAAAACATTTCAGA